GCAAAATTTCAATATTGTGAATTTGTAGATATCCAGTTATCATAAGAATCAAAATTTTACGATTTGCACTTGGAAAATAATGAATACTTCAGTTTTAATTTTGACATTAACACTATATAGATTGCTATTTGCTGCGGACTTTTTCGCAAATTTCATTTTTAATATAAACACTATCACATACTATAAAAAATAAACAAATTTAAAGCAAAAAAAGTAAGAAAAAACTCGAATTGTAATTGATACAAATTAAAATGTAAACAATGAACACGAACGCCAATGTTGCCAAATGATGAACTGATTTTAAAACAAAATTAATAAATGAACTGAAATTTAAAAAAAAAATAAATATAATAAATCGGTTTTATAAAAAAATCCTTAAATAAATATAAAGTATGATTATATATTACTAGACACAAATTTTGATTCTGAAATAAAAGGTTTTATTCACTTCTTCAAGAGCTAAAATCCGACGACGTAGCGAAATTTTGCTACTTCTGGCAACACTGAACGATATCCTACTTATAAGGGACCTTATACAAATTTCCTCCAGAGGGCGTATCACTTAGCTTGAATTGCGAATAATCAACTAACCAACCATCTATCAAATAGGTTAACCACTAGAAGGTAATCTAGTGTAGAAATATACCTAATGTTTACTAAAAGTAAGTATAGATGGATTGAGAAAATAAAGAAATCATCCAATTAGAGATTTGTTTTGTGTGGGTAGTTTGAACTTAATATATAAAAATGCTGGCTTTTAACATACTGCGATGCTTGATGCGTTTATTATTGATGCAAGACAAGTAATTCATACCAAGCTTGTAGTTTCACTTCTATTTATAATCTCGGTTGCCGGTTGTTAAAGTGGGGCTCGAATTTTAAATTCTGTCGTTGGTTAGACCTCGGGTTACTGTTACTAACGGATTTCTTAAAATGAATACTTTCACTTGCAATGCATGTGAGTGAAAAACATTGTGTCAAGACGGAGATAAAAGATAGTACTATTGCTCCAATGCAGGTGTTTAGTCACGTTACGTATAATCGCATGGTTGAATGTTTTTAGTTAGTACTTTGTCAATTTCGAACGTTCGCAGAATTTAAACCGCAGTTTCAACTGGTTAATTCTTTTATAGACTATTTACTTAACAGAGCCGGCTTTTGTTATACTAATCGCAAGTGTTTAAATACGAACGAATAGGTGTATTTAAACAAAAATTGTGACTCGCAAATCAAACAAATTTAAATAGGTTGATGATTTTAGTAGTAGGAATATAGTGCTACGGGACTAGGAAGTGAGCTGTCAAACTACATTCCATCGAGTTCTCTTGTTCGAAAGTTGGGGAGACTTTACAGGAGCTTCTGGAGATTAAACGCAGACGAAGGAGGGACGTGGGAGGTGTTGAATTAGCTGAAGACGAAAAAGAATGAAAACAGATGATTAATAGAGAGTCAAATAGAAATTGTGCAAAGAAATAGAGCGATGTAAAGGAATGAAGGGATGCGCAGAATGGAGGATTTGGTAAATAAAAAAAAAACATATTGTTATTTGATATTTAAAAATAAAAAAAATTTTAATAATAGTCTCATATCAGGTATTTTGTGTGTAATTCCTACGTCACTCCTTCATCTTCAGTGCCTTCAACGCCTTCATTCTTCTTCATCCCCCCAGCCGTCGAAAAAGAGAACTCGAAGGAATGTAGTTTTGACAGCTCACTTCCTGATCCCGTAGCCCTACATTTCTACTAATGATTTCATTGATTACAACCGGAAAAGTTATTATTTAGGAAACAACATTTATTTTTTTTTTTACATTTAAAACCCCCTATTATCGAAACATTTAGATTTAACTCAAATTCATTATTAAAAATATTGTATTTAATTTAAATATGTCTGCTCTTTCCAAACGAATTTTAAAAATTTGATATCCATGCAAAGGTTTGATTTGAAGTGAATCATATTTTAAGTCCTGACCTGGATTTCAACTTTTATTTATACGCTATTCGGTATCATATTCCACAAAGAATATATGTAGTGAACATGAAAAAAATATGCAATGTATTTTGAATAATTGAATAAATGTGCAAAATGGATAAATCACCCTATGTCTTAGTTATAAATAATCAGAGACTTAGGCTAATTAGAACCACCTCGGTGTCCCCTATCTACCCGTTAACGTATGCGCATTTCCCAATGAATCACTTTATACATAAAACTTATTCAATAATCGTGTTCAAGCTACATCCAAAATGCCATTTTAATTAACTGGTGCATTATCGGTAAAACACACCATATAAAAATCAATTATATAATGTTGGCGAGATCAAACCTTCGGTACCATCTTTGCTTGGGTTGAAGTGAATAGTAAACTGAATTCGCATATGCAGGAAAGGATGTACTCGTCTTTAACGGTCGATAGCTGGGTACCGACCACTAACTCGGCTGTGAATAACAAACTAAGATACGGGTACTGTGTCTTTTCTTTTCCTGCATGTTAGGTTAAGTTGGGTTAAGTTACTCCAACACAAGTAAAGCAAAACGGAAGGTTTTGCCATCAATGCATATGTTACGGTTAAAGTGTTTACCTGGCTAATTTATAGACTAGCTGGCTACTATGCAAACTATCTAAATGGCTATTTTGATGAAAAATCATATTTCTACTAAAATACCTATGAATATTGGTTGGATTGTATATTCTAGCTAGTTTACAAACTATACAAGATGTATCGTTAAAGTACAAACCAAAAGAATTATACACAAATTAACCGATTTTTTTTTTTGGTTAGTTTACAAACTGTCTACAGTATTTGGAAAAAATATAAACTTAATATTCGTAGTAACACACGTCCCCTTACTGCAACAACTAGATAACTTGAAATTTATAGTTTTGAGAAAATCCACTTTAAAGATTCAAAACGCAAAAAATTACACCTGTTAAGTAATCAAAAATATTTAATATCTATACAGATATGTTGCATATCAAATTATGATTTGTTAATTTTGGAAACAATTAGGTTTTATATCTTTGCAAAATTTAATCAAAAACTTGAGATATGTAGTTGTTGCTGAAAAAAAAGTAAAGTTATCTATTTATAACCACTAACAAACGCAAATCACCTAATAAATACAACTACTTTATTTTGAATAAAAAATTAACAAGATTAGTTTAAATAAAACCCAAAAGATTCCACCCTTGATACAACTTAAGTATCAATATTAATGATGTCGGTTTGGGAATCTTCCATGTTTTAAGGGTGTTTACGTTGGTCTCCTTGGAATGGAAGACTTTCAAAAATGCTTTATACTCGCTAGGGAGGGCCGGAGGATTCATTTTGAACAAAGACATAAGGTGCCATATTTTTTTTTAAGTGGTAGTTGACTTTGATACAAAGGCTCTTGAGTATTATTTAAAGACGACATACGTGTTTTACGTTTAAAATTTAGACGTCTAAACTCCCCATCAAAATCTTCTATAAAATTAATAATAAATGGCGTCGATTTTGAAAAGTTCAACCAGCATATTTTCTGCCCACTAACCAAGTTATGGCTTTTAAAAAGCCACCGTAAAAACAATTTAGCAGCACAGAAACAAACCTGTTGTTTCAAGCACACAACTAGATATCTCATAGCGACCAAGAAGGTGTCGGCAGATAACTCAATAATACCAGATATATCTCAAGATCTCTAGTTATAAAATGTATATATTGGGAGTTATCTGTTTTTAGTCACTCTTCAAAAATAGGTTTGGTTGCTCGTACATGATATCCAGTTGTTGCATTGAAAAGAGCATGAAAAATAGGACAGATTAAACTGGATAACTCAAAATGCATAAATTTAAAGTTATCTAGTTGTTGCACTAAGGGGGCGACATAATAACCAACTCGTTGGTTAGTATGTAAACTCTTTGGTTAATTTAGTTTAAAAGAACCACACAAGGTTTACGGCTGTGTGCACATAGCTTAGAGTAGCAAAAAAAATGGATTTGTTATTTTGCACGAAATACAAATCCATTATTTTGCTAATTTAGTTTAGGATAGTAAAATATTTCTTGGTCAAAAAGTTTATTTATAGGTACAATAAAGGATTGCTATTACTATTAAAAAAGAAGTATACAAAATTAAAGTAACAAAAAAATACAAATGTACTTGTTTGTTTTTGGGCTGTTATGCCGTGGTTTTTCTTGGTTATTACTACCAAACGTTTCAGCCGCAACTGCGTCAAGAAGAGTACTTCATCCACGCCACTGAAGATGGCTGCCGCAGTTGCAGCTGCTGAAACGTTTGGTAGTAATAATCAAGAAAGACCACGGCATAACAGCCTGGAAACAATTACATTGACGCCGGCAGTGAAAGACTGCATTTTTACATAAAAATACTAAGTTCACTATAATCACTGTCATTCATTAATTTGCCTTCTAAATTTTTTAAATTGAATTTTCAAATTGTTGCTGATTCTTTTTTAAAAACCAATTGCCTATTCTTAAACAAATTTCACAAGACACTGCACTAAACAACACACAACATTTACTATAAACATAACTTCACTTTTCTAATAAATTAACCAAAGAGAATTGGTCAGCTTACATACTAACCTACGAGTTACTTATTATGTATTACTACAAATATTAAGTTTACACCTTATTCAAATACTGTGGATAGTTTGTAAACTAGCCAAAAACATTGATTATTTTGTGTACTTTTCTTGTGGTTTGTACTTTGGCGATAAATCTTGTATAGTTTGTAAACTAGCTGAATGGTATGCAAAACAACCAATATTCATAGCTATTTTAGTATAAATATGATTTTTCATCAAAATAGCCAGATATTTGAATAGTTTCTATACTATCCAGCTAGTCTAGTAAACTCTTTAACTGTAATTATATATTAAAATATTCAAAAAATTGTTTGTTTATATCATTTTAAACCAAGTTTGAAATAAGATTTTTTCAATATTCGATAATTTTCAAAAAAAATTGTAAGTGTTCAAAAAATATTGATATTTACCGTTATGGTTGGGAAGATAGGATTCTGGTAGTTGACTAGCCCATCTGGAACCGTAGCTGGGTTGAACAGCTGGGAAAAGCTGAGAATTGGTGACAACATTCAAAGACGGTGGGGTACCACAACGTGACACCACGTGTTCGGTGATGTTTGGAAGATATCCTTGTCTTCCTAAAAAAGGATTTATAAAAGTAAAGTAGACGTAATTGCTATTAATTAAAATAGTAATCTTTTTTTATGACTTTCGCCAATCTGCCTATACAATGAGGACCAAAATTCCATGTTTGTGTTAACAGTAAAGTTATTTTTTGACATTTTGAAAAATATTTTCTTATGGAAAAGAGATCAAAATACTTATAATTTTAAAGTTATGTTTATTCTTATACGAACCAGATTTTTAAAACATTTAAATAATTACTCTTTCTGTTCACTGATATCTAAGAAAAAACTGTATTTTTTAAGAAAAAAAAAATAGTAATTTTTCTCTAATTTGTCAGTTTAATGTTTCATAATCCATATATATAAAAAATGTAACACCAATTTTCTTCTTCATGCCTAATTAAACGGATGAATGAAGGTTTTATTAGAAAACTAAACATCTTTATTGTTCTTCCATAAATTGAATTAAAAATTCCGATGCGTTGTTATAGTCCATTATTATATTATTATTTCCTAGAAGGTTTATTGTGAGGAAGACTCTAAAGAATGGCCGTCAATATTTTCAGATAAAAAACATTGATGTTTTCATCTGTTCGTTAAATATTAAATGTAAATGTAAACATAACTAGGTAGTATTATTTGTTTTTAATATTTTTTATTATATTTTTATTAAGTATATAAAACTAGGACAAATATTTACCATTAGTTCTTGTTCTGTGCCTCCTAGTACTTGATTCATCATCATCACTGGAATGACTAGACGCCAAATCCAGACTTCTTCCTTCAGAACCATCAGAATCTGAATCGCTATCTCTTTCTCTCCTTTCTCGTCTCTCTTCTACTTCTTCAGGCACTTCTCGGTGTCTGTGCAAACCTGTCTCGTGTTCGAATCCTCTCATATAGGATGGAACGTCACTAGTAGAGTTGTAATTTGACGTTGACGTGGACGTATGTCTTAAGTGGCTATCGCTTCTGAAAATAGGAAAAAAAAATAATATTAGGCGTTAAAAACAAAATGGTTGCCTGATGAATATGATACACAAACCCCAATTATACATTTTATTTATTTATTAGGAATACAAAACGGGACGAACCCAAGTAGATAGTATTCACTTATAGCTAGTGATAATATCAGGGGCGTGCAGTAAATGGAAGCATTTGTCAAATTAGAGATTGCCACTATATATATGTAAACAAAAGATTTAATAAACTTTTTAGAAAGAAAACCAAAGTTTTTAGAAAAAAATTTGTATGGTTTATTGCTCTATGCATGGTCTAATATTATTTAGCAGTTTCTACAAAAAAGTCATTCAAAATTATCTAATTCACATTTTTTTTAAGATGGAAGATTGACGACACATTTGGGAGTTTTAAGGTAAAAAAAATTATGCGTTGTTGACGTCACAACTGTCGTCGCCAGCCACTGAGGGTCAACAGCTGATTAGTAGAAGCACCAAGGCTCTGTCAGTACTATGGAGGGTAGAAAAAAGGAGGACAATCTTATATGGATCTTTATATTAAAAAGTGGCCACCAAAATGTATACAATTAAGATGGCACTCGTGTAGCCAGGGGACAAAATCCAATGCTATATAGTCATATAGATTGCTCATTCATAAGAATTATTTATTGTTTATATTATTATTTTTCAATAAAATTTGACTATTGTCGTGTATTGTCAAAATTTATCTACAATCACAGAACACTTACTCTTCTACGATCAGTCACTTTTCACGGTGTAGTTTTTAGTTTTTTATGGTTGAGCAATATTTATTACTATATACATCATTGGTGTCATTGTGTGATCTGAATTATCGACTGTCGACGTCCCCTGAGCACAGAAGCGCCATCTTAATTGTATACATTTTGAGGGACACTTTTTGTATACAGAGATTGTTCTCCTTTCCTCTACCCTCCATAGTCAGTACTTTGCAATTAGGCATTCCAAACAAATGAATTACCAGTGGGCAGGTTTGGTATATCTAAGGGTGGCGACATATGGTGTATTCTATCTACTTTACGTAAAATCATGAATAATGGATTACATTTAAATATTTTATGTCAAACACAATAAAAATAATATTTAAAAAACCCACCTATAACATTTCTTCATAAATTGGCAGGCTAGGCGAGTACTACTTCGAATAAAAATAGCGTCGAAGTTGCAAGACTATGTCGCTACCCCCTTAAATATACAAGAATTTCCCACTGGCACCTATTGTTTGACAGGTCGTTGAAATGCCTAATTGCCATTTTAGCACGGCAACGTCAATGTGGATGGAGAAGCACTTTAAGGGTTGTTTCAGCCCAATTTAAATACATATGATTATTAAAACGGCACCAGGCACCAGGTGATTTTATTGCTCTGGTAAATGGGCTATCATGACTGTGAAACAAACTTCTTTTAAAATGCAAACAATATACATAGTGGAACAAAAGTCAGGAAACGCCTAATTATTTCGTAAATAGTTAGTTCGAATTGTAAAAAAATTGGGATAAGCCTAATTTGGGATACAAAAATTCCAGATTTAATCGTTGCTAGATTTACCGTTTTCCAGATATTTTGGTTTTTTTATATACATCATTCTGTATGTTTTGTCATCATTGCAATTATCCCTTCAACTATAAGGAACACATGAGTTTTAAGGTAAAAAAAGATATTTTTAAGCGTTTCCAGGATAAAAAAAGTATTTTGAAATGTGTTTCAAAAGGTCTAAATAGCCTTAAAAAAACGCGAAAGTTTAGCCGTTTAGACGATGGCGAATTTTTTCTCTTGCTCTATGAATAGTCTAATATTTTGAGACTTAAAGGTAAAAAAAATGTTAAGTGACAGCGTATCCATTACATAAGTGTGTTCCAAAGTGTCTTGAAACTTTATGTAAAATTTCAATAGTAATATCGGCCGTTCGGATGATGGCGTATATTAACGAGCAATAAACCATACCAATTTTTTTCGTAAAAGATTATAATTTCGTATTTTTCGTTTTTCAAAATACGAAGTAATTTAGTTTCAATGACACTTGGCGTTTCTATAAATGCGGCGCCGTATCCAAATAGGGTAAGAAAACGTACGTGGAAAGAAATAGATAGGTTAATGAAAGTTGGCTGTTTGGCAATAGTTCCAGGCCGTACAGTGTAGTCGAGAAATCAGAGCGAAGCCGGAGGATGTTTCAAAAAGTTTACGGATTGCAGAAATCTACTAACTTTTGTTTACTAATTTGTTAAGTTGTTTTTGTACATAATTAGTGTATATAACGTTAACTTTGTGCTTTGAAGGTGTATTTTAAACAAAACACGGTGTAGTGGGTGATTCTATTAATAGTTTTATTGTCAGTATCACGTAAAAATTAAAGTTGCTCGTTTTACGAGAAGACATTTATTGAATTGGAGTACTAGAAGTAAAAGGTGTGTAATAAAAAAAAATACATTGCAATCGACTGATTGGTGTTTAATAAAAGTATTTACATGCCAATAAATTGCATAGTTGTAAATTGTGAAAGCAGATCTTTCTCTTCTATTCCAAATACAATGAAAGGTCAATGAAATTAATCACTATATTTACTATACAGATAAACTCTAAAAATTTCGGAGCATAGCAATTTCTATTAGCAAGTGGACCAGTACAAATTTCAACCGATGAAGCTTAGTTACGACATCTAAGAATAAATTGGGCCGCAGTAACGTTCTGCCACCATTAAAGATTTGCTCCTTGTCTAACCCCTGAACGGTCCGCCCATTTCACCTTCTGCTTATAAGCGAAAACATTAAATAGGTAAAACAAAAACAGTGATTTTAGTATTGCATTGATAATGGTAGGGTGTACTTAAAACTTGTCTGTAGCGACAGAAATTATTACGTTTTATTGTGTTGATGCGAAAAATTATTTGTTAACTTTTTGTTAAACAAATAATTTTTCTTTCCAAATTATGTTTTGTGCTGTCTTTTTGCCGTAACGACGTTGAAAATAAAATAAAATTCCAAAAAATTAAAGAAAATTCTTAAAAAATAAAATAAAATTCCTAAAAAATAAAACTTAATTCCAGAATAAACTTAACATGAAAACTCTAAAATTATTAATGAATTAAAGACTCAAATAATCCCCCTTGTTGTGTCAAACAATAGCCGAACCTATTGTACAACGATAAACGTGTATCTCTTAATTGAGTTGGCGTAATGTGGGCACAATATTGAATTATTTTCGCTCTTAAGTTATTTAAATTTGTTGTCCTTTCAAAACCGTGCCGGTAAATTTTTCCTTTTAAAAAGCCCCAAAAGAAAAAATCATTCGGCGATAAGTGCGATGATCTCGGAGGCCTTTTCATTGTACCATTTGTTGCTATTAAACGATCAGGGAACATTGTGCGCAGAAATTCGGTAACTGCCCGACTATTATGACTTGGACAGCCATCCTGTTGAAACAAAATATCTCCAAAATTAACAGGGAGTTGCTGAAGTGCAGGAATAATTTGGGTTCGTAATAGTTGCAGATATTTGGTACCGTTTAGGTTACCCTCAATAAAAAAAGAACCTATAACATGGTCACCTAATATCCCCGACCACACATTAAGTTTTTGCGGATATTGTGCCCGAACAGGAATAGATAGGTGTTTATTTTCCCGAGACCAATATTGAACGACAGATGAATTGTGCTTGCTATGAAGGGAAAACGTTGACTCATCCGTAAATAAAATATTATTTAAAACATTTTTATTTTGATTTTGTTTTCCCATCATTTCTTCACAAAACTCCATTCGTTTGATACTGTCCTCGGAAAAAAACTCTTGAATCGTTTGGACTTTATAGCAACCGTAACCATTCCTTTTTAAAATTGTTCTTACAGTATTTGGGTGCATGTCAACTTCTTCAGCAATTTCCCTGCTAGAACATGGTTGACTGGCTTCAACAATAGCACACACATTTGTTTCTTTATTAAGCTTTTGTTCACTAATCTGTCGAATACGTGTTCATCGACATTATTACATTTGTTTCAACTGTGGAATGTGACGGAGCTGGCCTATCCTCAAACGCAACAATAAATAAATTCACTATTTTTCTAGTCGAGTGACCTCTAAAATACCAACTTATAATTTAAATTTTTTATTCCACTGTGTACATTTTATTTTAATTACAACAGTTTTAACTTAAAAACCTATGTAGTTTGCTGTGTAGGCCAACGTGTGAGTCTGAAGTCTGAACGCGCGATTTGTGATCCGAGTTGCTGAGCGAACATCCCACCACCTTAGGTTGGGCAATACTTTAATGGTAGGATAGCGGTACTGATGCTGTCCAATTTACTCTTAGATGTCGCAACTCAGCTTTATCGGTTGAAATTTGTACTGGTCCACTTGCTAATAGAAATTGCTATGCTCCGAAATTTTTAGAGTTTATCTGTATTTCAGTCTGTTATTAAAAATTACATATATTTCCAAATTAACTCGGAGGTATTTCACAAACTCAAAATCAAACACGTATCAACTCATTGTAAAATTGGAGTTTGTGTACCATCTTCTTTAGGCAAAGGTCACATGGTGTGAAATGTCTAATAATGAACATTTTTGCGCATTAGTCATTGCGTCAAAAATGACAACATTGTATGTAGCAAAGTGTACAAGCGCAAACTCTTAACATAAAAACTTCTTAGAAGACAAAATTATTGCTTTTGTCGAATACCTGATATTTGAATGGATATACCCAACGAAAATATTTATTTACTGTATATAAAAAAATTTGAGATATTCATTGTTTCTAGTGTGATTTCGTCTTATGTTGATTGAATATATATTTTTACTTTATTCCGGCGTCCAATGAACTGATTAAATTTTGGGCAGAGTCGGAACATCTGGGGGGGTACTTTATAGGTGGTAATTTTTATATTTTATGGAATATATCTGTTATTTACGTTTGGAGAAGAAAATTCTTTAAATAAAAGTTACTTAGAATATTATTATCAATATTTTTTGTTCTATACAAAATTTTCCTAAAATGGTCCGTATTCGAGTAATTTGACAAAATGTAAAAAAAATATTTTTTATAAAAATTGTTTGTAATATAATTCTTTATAATTTTTTTACTATACATAATTTCTCTAAAATAGACCGTATTCGATATATTTGAGAAAATGTGTAAATTTAGAATTTTGAAGAAAACGAATAAAGAAAAAAACATTAAATTTTAAACTTAAGTTTTATTTCGGCTTGACGTGAAATAATTAGATTTTGGACAAAGTCGGAACATCTGGGGGGGTACTTTATGGGAGGCCGTTTTTATGTTTTATGGAATATGTCTGTTATTTATGTTTAAAGAAGAAAATTGTTTAAATAAAAGTTACTTCTAATATCTATATCTATAATTTTTGTTTTATGTCAAATTTTCCTGAAATGGTCCGTACTCGAGAAATTTGACAAAATGTGCAAAATTCTGATTATTAAGAAAATTGTTGGACTAAAAGTTGTTTGCGATATCGATCTCTATAATTTTTGTTTATACATGATTTTTCTAAAATGGACCGTAATGGAAAAATTGGAGGAAAAGTGATAAATTAAAATTTTTCAGTACCTATTTTCATTTTCAATTAATATCTATAGAAAAATGTTTCGAGGTAGATGTATGTGGAAAATGTATATATTTAGTTTATCCTCTAAACATTTATAGAGGTGCTGCAATAGGTTGTACAAAATAACCGGAAAAAGCCTATAATAACTATATAGGAAAGTCATGTCGTGCTGGACACACCAGATTTTTTATTGTATATTAATATTTTATACATTATCTTTTTTATACGCTTATATGTACCTATATTAGGGGTTGTCTACAATAATCGAATGGTAAACGTTCACTGTGTTATATACGTAGTTGCCAAATTATTATGAGAGAGTATTGGAGACTCTTGTTACAAGGATTGTTTATGGTTATAATTCAGAAATGACTTAACGTAAGGCTATACAACGCACAGACGGATTTCAAAATAACAGTAAGTTATTCTTAATGTTGGTTATTCTCAGTTTAATATATTTTTCTCGTTGCAAATATCATAATTGAAGTCAATTTCCAAGAAAGTACGCATTTTATTTTGAAGTATATTACGTAATTACTGATTCATTCATTAAACTTGCACCTCAGATAAACACACTCGTGCATGCCATCCCCTCTCAAATTAATGGTCATCTCACTCTTTCAAATTCGGCAGCCGATGCGACAGCTCTATCTGCCTAATATAAAACTGAATCTTTGCAATAAATAAGGGCTTAATTATGAATGAATTGATTAGTCTAGTAGTTTTTGTAGTCATTTCTTTAATAGTCATTATTATTATTATTCTATTCTCCACAGGGTACTTTTATATACCGTTATATTCTTTAAATGTTATATTGTCGTATTTTCAATTATTGCTCGAGATTCTTGCTATTTGCCGATTCGTTTTGTTTGCGTTAAAAATATATTTTATTGGCTATTTAAAAAACTGATACTCCACCTTTCCCGTTATTCGACAATTTCACATTACTCATGCGCGAAAAAAGCGCGGGACTTTTGAATCCAGTAATTATCCATACAGCTTATTTTTTATCCTTCTCTTATCCTCGCTTTACAACTGTTTTGGCTACGATCGTTACTTTAAACAACTGTCATCTAGTCTATATATAGTAGGAGAGCCAGTGACACTTTTCTTTCTTCTGCTTAGAACCGGAAAGAACGCCCCAGGAACACTTGGTAGGGAACCTATTAAAACTAACCAAAGACACAGGACTATTCCAAAGATAGTACCTGAATAAGGGAAAGCAAGGGAATACAATAGACCCAAGAGGCCGAAGTGTTCTGGGCCAAACCTAACCCTACCTGCTTACAACCGATAAAGATAAACATAAAAAGACACTTTTTTTGGTATACACTTGCACAAGGCATTATGTAAACAGGATTTTTTACGACGTCGCGTCTTCATCAAGACTTCATCGCTGTAGGGACTAGGAAAAAATTTCCATGTTATACAATGTTAGCATGAACGAAATATTTGTAATTTTGCGTTGTGAAAATAACACACATAAAAGTGTTACTGGCTCCCATACTAATAATAAAAGTTTAAAATAACATTTATGAATCCATAATTGGAACTCAGAGCAATGTTTTTTTATCCTACTTCCATACTAATATATAAATGCGAAAGTTTGGATATATGGATGGATGTTTATTACTCAATCAGGCCAGAACGGCTGAACGGATTAGAATTAAATTTGTCGCAAAGATAGTCTGGAATAGCACACAGGCTACTTTTTATCCCAGAAAATGTACGGTTCCCCTGGGTTATATTTGTTTTGTTTTCACGGAGCAAGGATCAGACATGATTTTGCATAAAATTATTTAAAATTATTTAAAATTATTTAAAATTATTTAAAATTATTTAAAATTATTTAAAATTATTTACTTAAAATTATTTAAAATTATTTAAAATTATTTAAAATTATTTAAAATTATTTAAAATTATTTAAAATTATTTAAAATTATTTAAAATTATTTAAAATTATTTAAAATTATTTAAAATTATTTAAAATTATTTAAAATTATTTAAAATTATTTAAAATTATTTAAAATTATTTAAAATTATTTAAAATTATTTAAAATTATTTAAAATTATTTAAAATTATTTAAAATTATTTAAAATTATTTAAAATTATTTAAAATTATTTAAAATTATTTAAAATTATTTAAAATTATTAAAAATTAAAATTATGTTCTTTTTACCTGTAGGGACTAGAACTTGTCTTGGTAGTGGAGCGCGATGTAGTACTTGATGTAGATATGCCAATGTTTCGTCTGCCTGGATCACCAGAATGGTAAGCTAAAGCAGACCGCTGAAAACAATAGTATTTAAAAAATGTTTCCAATCAGAGAATGTTTTATTACCGATTGAGCATTAATGTTTTGACTGCTGGTACTTGGAACTCCTATAACAGATTGTGTATCTAGTAGTGGCACCTTTTTACCCATGCATCTCATTATAGACCTAAATACAAAATATATTAAATACAAATACCCAAATATTTTATAAAAATCACAGTATCTTTGTCTTATAGTCGATTTTTCATACCTTATGAGATTTTGTCTGACTCTATTATTGGCAAAACAGTATCCAGCTAATGAAAATCCAGCATGTATCAGTACAGCAACAGATAAAAATGGTGTCAGTAGTGGATGTCTCTCTGAAGCATCCAGAAGTGCCAATACCCAAGTTGTACCCAATAATGGAAGCGCTATCACAGAAACCCAGAGAAGCGTTCTAAAAAAAGCGAAAATTAAATTATTTAATAATACTTATTAAAAATGTCCTTGAACATACCTTAGATTTCCGAAACCCAACACATGATCTTGAAGGGTAAAAGCAGCTCTTACAGAAAAGGCTAGTACAAATGTATTAATTAATACGAGTAGACAAATAGGTCCTACCAAGCTCCATACTACACTTTCGTAGAGTGATACCCAGCAGCTAAAATTAAGGGTGTATTTTTAAATTGTCACTATAAAGTTTGTCGAATGTTTTTAAGAAGATAAATAGTTACGAGGATGGGATGATTTTCAGCATAAGAAAGAAGAAAACAATATGGAGTCAATATTTTTCCATAATCAGGCCTTTTTCTTAGAATGTTCTGTTGCAACTGTCAAGCAAGTTAGCATAATATTGTACAACTAGTAGACTAATTATGTTTACAAAAATCAAATTGCAAACATTCACGGTGTTATCCATGTAGTGAGAGAGTATGGGAGAGTTTTGTTACAAGAATTGTTTATGGTTAAAATTTGTTATTGACTTAACACAAGCCTCTAAAGCGCACAAAATACTTTTTCTCGTGCAACTATTATAGCTGAAAGTATTTTTCAGGAAAGTACGCAATTAATTTTGAAGTGTGAAAGCAGTGTATAGCAAGCGTCGCAGACGTAAATACTGATTCATAAAACGATTGCTCGCTTCTCAGATAAACAAACTCCCACAATCTATTCCCACTCAATGTGAATGATTGCAATAAATAAGAGATTAATTACGAATGAATGGATTAGTCTAGTAGTTTTTCGTCGTAATCAATAAAAAATTATGCCTCTTGCATCCCAAAATTGGCCTCTTTTTAATTTTATTGCTTATAAATGAGGTAGTGTCCTGTTTTAAAAATTTTCAGTTGTTCTATGTCCCATTCTTTATGGAACACCCTGTATATATCAAGTAATTACCTCATACTGCCATATTTTCAGATTCGTACAAGAATGAGTCGGCGGATTGTCAAAACGATCAGAGCTTCATCGCTTGTACAATTTATCAGCACATGCGCATTTGAACGTTTCTTCTCGTTCGTGCTATATTTGTTATTGTTGTGATTTTAAGTTGGTTTAAAATGGCTTGAACTTCTATATATTTAAATTGAAATGAATATTTTTTGTTTTTATTTTGTGTATGTTTTTTTTTTATGTAAAATTAGGTACTTGGTTTTAATAAAAATCACCATCTTAAGGTTTCAAAATTATACATTTACATAGAGCGTTCGAGACAGTTAAATAAATGTATTTTGTTGTATTTTAAATAATGTTTAAAATACCAATATACCAAACATGTGTTTGCGGTTTGTCCAATCCCATTGCATTTTGCGTTCCAACAAATCCAATTCGCTGATCAAACAACGGACGAATAAATGGACTGACATGCGCAGAGATTAGTTTACAAATGCATCCATGCACGAGTCAGAGACACATCAGAAAGGCGCTGTTGGAACAAACCTATAAGGTTTGTTCCAACAGCTAATCTAGTCATCAGAAAGACGTCAGAGACTTTCGTGTTGAAAATAGTCCGTTCCTACAAAGCCACGAATAATCCGATGAACTGTCAGTACAACGTTCCAACCACATACTTTGATTTTCTTTTACTATACGGAGAATGGTCGCACTGCGCAGCTTTCTGAGTGCATTTTAAAAGGAGATAGAAAACTCCGCCATTTTGAACCCTTATTACGTGTTGCCTACATCTTGGCGCATTATTTTTAATAGGTGCGTTTTAATCATCCGCTTCTGCTTCGGAATTGTCGGTTTTCTTGTTTTAATCTGACAGGTTAAAACGACTAAACCGACAATTCCGGAAGCAGAAGCGGATGATTAAAACGCACCTGATATTTTGCTTGATGCTGTCAGTGAATATTATTTTTGGAGTCACAGTTTATTGCTAAAGAATCAGTTAGCTCACTCGGACCAGTTGAAAGTTCCAAAATAACATCCACTCCAGGAATACAAATTCAGGATACGCAGAAGACTGCTGTTTTATTATAGGCGGTTGTCATATATTGTATTATTTGAGTTGCGCAGTGTATAAACTGGAACATTGAGATAAAAAGTGCCGACGCAGAGTGAGCGATCTGATTCTTTAGCTATAAACTGTGTCATAGGATTCAAAATGGCCGCGCCCTATGTTGGGCGTGTCGGACCTCTCTCTTGCCCTGTATAGTAATCAAAGTATGTGGTTCCAACGTATTTTTTGATTCATACATGAATAAGACGGCGGATTGTCAAAACGATCAGAGCTTCATCGCTTGTACAATTTATCAGCACATGCGCATTTGAACGTCTCTACTCGTTCATGCTATTTGTTTGTAATTGTTGAGATTTTAAATTAGCTTGGAGTGGCTTGGGTTTCTATTTCTTTTAATTGAAATGAATAATTTTTGTTTTTATCTTGTGTACGGTTTTTTTATGTAAAATACGTACTTATTTTTAATAAAAATGAACATCTTAAGGTTTCAAAATCATACATTGACATAGATCGTTCGAGACAGCTAAATCAATGTATTTTGTTGTATTTCAAATAATGTTTAAATTACCTATTCATCAAACATGTACTTGGTTTGCCCAATTTAATTGCATTTTGCGTTCCAACAAGTACAAGTCGCTGATTAAACAACGGACGAACAAACGGACTGGCATGCGCAGTGATTAGTTTACGAATGCATCTATGTACGAGTCAGAGACACATCAGAAAGGAGTTGAAACAAACCTATTATACTTAGGCACTATTATAACACAATTCTAATTTATTTATTACAATTTATCTTTTCTGTCCAACACTTAAATTCAATCTGCCGTCCGTCGACAACTTGCGCTATTTATATAAAGCCAACTTTCTATGACTCATACGCCGCAAAGGGATCAATCTGGTAGTTTCTCGAAGCGATGCGTTTGTCTCTATATTGAGAGCGCCGCTAGACTTCATACTGCGGACAAGGAATAAACAAAGCACAGGGTTGGCTTTTGCGCGATACTACTAAATATGGCGCCAGCATGAAGGGGGTCATTTTATTGTATTGACAGCATATCCATAGCGGTATCTAGACTTTCTGAGAGCTATGAGTGTACTTAAGACAATCAATAAATCAAATACTGACGCCATATATTTTCCGGCCGATAGAACCGTTTTTGTCTTATTTGGGACTGGTTGTTGTCTCCGGGTGTGATGGTGAACCAAAGTCTCGTCCATAGTTATAAATCTGCGGAGATTTTGAATTGGGCTTCTGTAACATTCGCGGCACACATCTTGTGTAGAGGGTATAGCAGGCTGTCAAATACAAACCAGTGCATACAAAATTACAATTTCACAGAAAAATTAATGACATATGACATTAACTAAAACAAACAAACGATCAAAAATATAGGCCACTATAGTTGAGTCTGGACGTTATTCATCCCATCTTCGTATGTTTCACGTTCTTTTTTTAAATAAATTAAAATTTTCTTACAAATAATAATTTCCATATTGATGAGCTCTAACTCCAACTGCCAAACTAACTACAACTGCTGGAGCAACATATCCCATACTGTAATAGAACCTCATAGGGCCATGATTTATGTCTCTCATTTCTGTTAGCATCCTGTATAAGTGAACAGCGTCTACTAGCATCCATGAAAACGAAGCAAGCCATAAATAATGGAGACCAATAGCAACCAGTTTACAGGCGAACTGAAAAAGATGACAAACAAAATAGTTTTAAAATCTAAATACTGCCAAAACTTAAACAATTTTAGTCCCTAAGGTGACTGCAAAAAGCGGCATGTCGCTTTCTTTGTAGTTGAGTACAGAGAAGTTATACTATGTTTCGGCGTTGGGAGTGTTCATGTGACCTGTGAAAATCAAAGTAAAGTTGCGAGAACAAGGTAGGTACATTTGACTCGACTATTTACATTTTATAATTTAATTTTTAGGTGTAGCAAGTTAACGAGCTATAATAATGATTTTTTTTCAAGTGCATCTGTCTAAATAACGGCGTATAATGCCGTCCAATTTATAATGATTCGATTGCCTTTTAACAAATACTTTCTCGCATATGATATATTTTTAAAAGTATTTATAAAAATAATAAATTTATAAAATATGGTATCTACGCCTATGGCAGATTAATGGAACTTGTCGGTAAGGGTTCGGAATGAGTTTTTATATTCTGCAATTGATAATGGAAGAACTATACTCAATCAATAATTTAATTTATTTAATTTTAATAATAAAAACGGTACGCTCATGTGAGCGGTCCCTTTGAAGTCGGCGCTAGTCGGTTATTTTGCCGTGTTAGGTTGAATCTAGAAAAACTATAAATATCCTGTCACGTCGCCGATATCCCTAGCAAAATCAGACGACACAAAATGTCATCGCCGGGACATAGTACAACATGTTTACCGACCTCCCCTGCACCAAATTACAAAGAAGGGACAAAAAAATCGACGTGACATTTTTGCAATTAGTTGAGAGACTATTTTAGTTTAAATGAAGAAAAAAGGAATTTATTTTTATTTTTAAAGCTAAATTTATTAGCGAATTAATAGACGTTACTCTCGTGCGAACCATTTTCAATCAGGCCGGCCCTGATCTTTGTTAACGGAATCGTCTTTCAACCACGAGCCTGTATTCCATTCATGCCGGTCGACCGAGACGAATAGACGCAATAAGAAATACCAGAAACCTCTAGCGCAAGCCTGGATTCATGGGAAATGATTATCTACAAGCATCTAGAAGTCTGCGAACACGACTGGATTTATCTAGAACCTAACATTTTTGTATTTAAATGCATTATTTTGCAGTTTGAATTAGTTTAGAAATAAATGTTGTAGAGTAAAGATAAATAAATTGTTAAAGTAAATATAAATCAGGGTAGTTTTAAGTAAAAATTAATGTTGTAAAATGAGTTGGTGTATTTGGCGAGTATAAATCAGAATAATTAAACTGTTTAAAATAAATAAACGTAACATATATGTGTCAGAAGTGGGAAACTGTAAATAAACATTGGATAAAAATGGCTCGCACGACAGTAAATTGTTTTAATTTCTTACCTCATTTCCAATCATCGGTCTTCTAGCTTTTAATGCCACAAAATATAAAAGTTCTCCCAAAAATACGCACAAAACTAAATTTTTTCTGATCGTATTTGAGTTCGTCTGTAAACCTCTTATTAATGCCAGAATAAGATATGTTCCTAACAAAAGAGGGAGAGACATCGAGAAACAACTGTAGCTTGATACATCCTCTAAGAGAGATGGTTCAGGAATGTACTGAAAAACATATTATATAATTTATTGTATTCAGAAATGATTAATAAATGTAGAGTCCGATTACAATAAGAACACCAATACGTCATTACCATTATTTCAAATTTCAAATCAAATGTATATTATCTTTGACTATCAGTAGTTGAAATTCACTTGTAAGGGGGTGAATTAGGGAGAGTATTATTATTATTTGTTAAATGATGATATCTGTATTCTTCTTATTAAAATCGGACCCTATCATGCTTTAACAAATTGTTTATAATAATAGGTATCTAACGATGTATGTTCTTAAAGGCCTACCTCTAAGTCTACCATGTCAACTAACACGGCAAATGTACCCAATTGGTTGCAACTACAGTTAACCATGATTGGCTGGTCTTCAGGTGTTTCATACCAGTCTTCAGCTATTTCAGTTCTACATCCAACTCGAGACCATTCTCCAAATCTGAAAAAAACAAGAGAGATTACTTTAACATAGGTAATAATATTAAAAAAAAAAAATCTTACCCTCTAACTTTTGTCCAGTGAACACACTGCGGGTTTGACCTAACATTTAGTATAGTGTTGTTGGCATCCATCCACATTTGCAGTCTTATAGGACTAGTAAGGGGCATCCCCATCAAGCTTCTATAAATCAGTTTTGTCTCGGCAATTTTGTCTCTTTTAATTCTTAAATATTCCGCATCATTTTCCTCTACCTCGCTTCTTTTATAGCCGTTTTTTGTCCAATAATCTTCTGTATCAAATTTTAGATTCGGCAGATTCACTTCTTGAAATGTCACTTTGAGTTCCGGAGGTGGATCAGTGTGAATGTACTCAGGAACCAAAACACTAACAGAAACTAATGGGGACCCAATAGTTATATCTACACCCCATCGTCTTATAACGGAATCGTCGTAAGTTTGAGGATGTAAAGCGCCATTTTGGCGGTACTGGGCGTAACTTACAACAGAGCCATCTTCCGCTAAACTATGCTTTGTAATGATTTCTCCAAATTCTATTGGTTTTATCCCCAATAAGTTAAGGGATAGCATTATTTTGGTATGCTGATCAAATTTTAATCCATCTAATAAATAATTATTGTACTTTGGGAAGGAAATATATGGTTCTGGGTGTATGTTCCTACTTTCTTCGAGAAAGAGCGATGTGTCTGGTAAAATAACACTTTCAGATGTAAAGTTTGGTTTCACTGAGGGAATCGGTGGAAGAGATTCAGATTCGAAACCATAAAGAGATTCCGGTGTTACTACGTCTAAACCAATAACTAAAAACAAGAAAATTAATTTTAAAACAGTTAATTCTAGAGCCAACGTGCAGATTTGTGATTTATGTTCTTATGGCTGAATTTATTATTAAATTATAATACTATAATATCGGTCCAACGGATAGAAAGATCCCTGTACAATAAGGAGTCCGCCTTGGACATAGAAGGTGCTTTTGATAAAACCACCTTCCCAAAGATAATACACACTCACTAACCAACAGGAATGTTTTACAAATGGTTAGGGGGTGGATACATAACATGCTCTCAAAGCGAGCAGTAAACATAAGTGTAGAAGATGTGAATATAAGAGGCTTGGTTGCGTGGGGATGTCCACAGGGAGGGGTGATATCACCTCTACTGTGGAATATGGTCCTCGACATCCTCATCATTTGACTCAATAATGACAGTAACTGCACAATAGCATATGCAGATGACCTGGTCATTCTGCAAACAGGGAATTTTGAGAACATACTCTGCAAAAGAATGCATATAGGTCAAAAATTGTAGAACAGTGGTGCAAGGACCATTCACTGTCTATCAATCCTAAGAAGACAGAAATGGTCCTTTTCACAAAGAAAAGGATGCAAATGGAATTAAAACCTCCAGAACTGCTAAACGCAAAACTAAACTTTGCAACAGATGTGAAGTACCTAGGTCTCATCTTTGACAGCAAGTTAACATAGAACTCGCATTTAGAAAACAGATAGACCGTCAGATAGTGACCGATTTAGGTGCCCCATTTTCGCATACAAGCCTCGAAGAGGGTTGAAAAGTACATCGATGTTGAGTAAAATAAAAGAAAATTTACGAGTGGCTCTTGGGGATAACACATGGAAAATTCGATTTTCCTTATCAGAAAAATGTTCCAACCCCAAAATGCACTTATACATTCGGGTCATTTAAGAAAATATGTTTTTCGAACTAGTGACGACGTACGTTTTCATACATTCGATGGGCTTGTGTAGAAAAATCGGGCAAAATCTCGATTTTTCCTTAGAAGATTATGTCCTTATTTCAACCCTTTAGCCACTTGCAACATTAAAGCCTTTGGTTTCCCGAAGCCTAGTTCAATTAATTAATCATATAGTGAAAACGGCTTGTGTGAAAAAATGGGTAACAAGTAACCTTTCGTTTTTGTTAGGGAAAATAGAATTTTCCATGTGTTATCCCCAGCAGCCACTCGTAAATTTCCTTTAATTCTACTTAAAATCGATGTACTTTTCAACCCTCTTCAAGGCTTGTATGCGAAAATGGGGCACCTAAACCTGTCACTATCTGACGGACTAAGAGTTAAAAGATCATACATTGCTTATGAACAATGCCGCCGAACCATGGGGCGCACCTGGGGTTTCTCCCATCAGAGTTGTCGCATGGACTTACACGGCTATCATAAGACCTATGCTCATATACGGTGCAGTTGTCTGTGTACCGAAAACCCAAAAATTAACAGCTATCCGTAAACTAGAACAAATTCAAAGAACAGCATGTCTCAACATAAAAGGAGCCATGAAAACAACACCGACTAGAGCCATGGATGTCATTCTTAGTCTCACTCCCCTTGATATTTACAACAAGGAGGTTGCTCAGACGACAATGACACGCCTCCGCACGGTCGAAATAGAACCTGATGTAGGATCTGGTGAGGCGAGACGTCACTTTTGGCAGGAGGCGCTCGATACGCTCCCACTGCTTCAAGCGAACATATATCTTTCATAAGCCATATAAAGTTATAATAACACAAATAGAAGAGCCGGAAGTGGCAGGTACGATTCATATCTACAGGAACGGTTCTAAAACAAAATAGGATGTTTAATATACTCCAAATTCTTAAACCTAAACATAAAATGGGCTGTGAGCAATAGTGCCAGTGTAGTTCAAACAGGGCTAACGGGGATTCTCATGGCAGCAAAAGAAATAACCAGAAACAATATCACTGGAAGGAACATGCTCATCTATACAGATAGCAGACAAGCACTACTCATCCTGAACAGACCACGAATTTATTCAGGGTTAGTACTAGAATGTCACGAAGATTTGGCCGAAGTATCCATCAACAATGTGGTCACCTTAAGATGGATTAAAGGTCACGCCACATCGAAAGTTAACCTTTCCTGCTGATTCACTAGCCAACCAAATACTTTTTGGACCTGGCCCTTCTATTGGCCTGACAAAATCGGTAGTGATAGACCTAATCAAAAAACATTCCCTTGTGAAATTAAAGGAAAGATAGGATGAAAGAAGAAACTGCAGAGTTGCCAGGGAGCTCTTAAGTTATCCTAACAATATCGCAGCAAACAAATACTTGACTATGACTAGACAGAATCTGCGCCTAGTCACAGGCATTCTGACTGGTCATTGCCAAGTACGAAAGCATCTCCATATCATGGGACTGTCAGAATCCGCACTCTGCAGAGGGTGCGAACAAGAAGATGAAACCATCGAGCATATCCTTTACGATTGCTCGACGCTCTCATTTATTAGAAGATTTGTGTTCGGCGAGTATAGGCTAACACTGGTCTTGGCGACGTTGTCAAGTACATTAAATCTGTAGACTGGCTCACGAGATAGGAGGTGCCTATCATCTCAGGAGGATGCACATTGCACAATGGGCCTAATGAGGCCTAAGTGCCGTGGGGTAAGCCACCCTCCACACGTTACAGATACAGATGGGTCCAACGAATTCACGAAAGCGTAAATTAGAAGTTCGGAACTATGGAGTGTCGAGGTAAGGACAACTATCTCTGTTTGCAAAGTGTTCCTCAAAATGTATAAAATTAAGATAGCGTTACTGGACCAGAGGAACGTCGAAACTTGTGACAGTCAATATTTCAAATCACACAATCACACCAATAATGATGTCTACAGTTATAGAGATAGCTCACCCATGTATAAATAAAAGGGTATATAATATGCTTGAAGGGTATAGCCTAAAAACTACATCGTGAAAAGCAAAAAGCATATAATCGTAGAGGAATTTTGATAGTAGACGAAAATAGTGCTTTTCGTCGTCTGATTTGCATATGGCTGAGCAATCGATATAACTATATATCATTGGATCTTTCCCTTCTAGTACTCGAGCGCCATTCGGTGGTCTCCTTCTGAAACCTTATTTACTACTTTTGGGACACTTTTTGAGATAAATAACCATGTGAGATTGTCCTTCTTTCCTCTACACACATATCTCCATGTCTATATTTCATATTCGGAACGTAAATCATATGGCGTAAATCAGATGTCTGAAACGTTAAGCTACGTGCCCACATCCTTTAACCTCTTTTGATTGCTTTAAATACAAGGTGACCAAACTTAGCAACACATTATAGAATTTTTCAAAAACTATGTAAATAAACGTCTTATCATTTAAATTATCAATTTTTGTAACAAAATATTATTGTATTCGAACATTTTCTCAACTTTACCTACGAATATATCTTTTATAGTGAAAGTAAAAGTTGGAAAGGCTTTTGGTAGGTAGAGATGGGGTAAACGTCAAACCACGTCGGACGGCTTCGAGAATTTCGCAGTAATGTTTACCTGCCAGTGTCGTTTCATAGAATAAGTAATTTTAAATTGTTATCGGCGGAACCGGACAATCGCATGTATTTATGGACTATAAATAATTATTAAACATGTAATATAATATTCAAATTATAATTTTACAAAATTTCAACAGCTATTTACAATTTATTAAACTATTTACTCGAAATTGTTATTAACATCTATAAAATAATTTTGTACGCCAATGTATCGCGTCCACTTCGGTGAGATCCGTCGCAAACCTGTCAATTTATGTGTATAAAGTGGGGGGACTGGCAAAAGCCTTTCCAACCTTTACTTTTGCTATAGTAGTGAAAGTGATGAAAGTATGAGCATTTCACCGGAGATTTTAGGAAAAGCTCCTTTATTTAATAGAAGAAAATAAGTGGGCGTAGAAAAAGTATAGTACGTTACACGAGTTGTAAGCCCATTACGCACTCGAGAAATTTACGCACTTGTCGCTGCGCGGCTTCGTGCGTAATGGGTTACTTATAGTTCTTGTTACGTAATATACTATTATAGACAGGTACGGACAGTTACTTAGACAAATACTTTCGTGCATGATAATAAAAATGTGCAAATAAAAAAATACGTTATATTTTGGTTCGAAGTTATTAGTATTTGTGTTTCTCCAAATTGAATTTTACACTGTAAAATAATAAAAGAGGTAAATAACATATTCCAGATGTTATTCCACAAAGTTTTAGGTTCGTTAAGTTCAAAAGGTAACATATTGTTGAGTTTGGATTTAGGACTCAATGACAAAATAGCGCAGGTAAAAATGGCACAAGAACAAAATGGCGCAAGGTCAAAATAGCGCGTAACGAACAATATTTTTTTTGATTAATGAAATTTATTAAAATAATGCGTAACAAATACTGTTCCGACGACGCCTATACAGGGTGTCCCGAAATTAGACGGTCATATTTTAACAGCGTAATCTAAATCTTAAAATAGGAGTAAAAGTTCATATAAACATAGGTCCGAAAACGTTTTTTTTTTTCCGAGATACAGGGTGTTTAAAGTGAAGTCCTGATAACACATTTTTGTAAATATTTTCTAAACGCTAGAAGATAACTAAATTAAATTTAGTACAAATGCTTACCTTTTTACGCTCTATGTAATGGACTTAATCTTAGTTTTTGATCATCTTCATAGATGGGTAAATTAGGAGGGGGCTTAAGGTAAAATTGCCCTAAGTTTTTTGTTGTCAGTTTTTAACATTTTTGACTAAAAAATTTGGAAACCCAATGTTTTCTTTACAATAAAGCTACACTTGTTGCATCTCGCTAGGACACACCATTTTCAAGAAAAAAGCATTTGAAAATTTAATGATAAGTTCATATTATTTTATTCGAAAGTGCAAACAATAATTAGCAGGCCTGTGGAATCAGAATTTTTTTTCAGGTTTGGAAAACCGGTGACTAAAGAAATGTATTTAGCTTTAATTTAATGTTTATTTTATAAAGAAACTTTAAATGGTAAAACTAAATAGTATTTAAACTTAAACTAATCAATTGTTTTTTTTTATTGTTTGGTTGGCTTTTGCCCAATAAAATGATTGATGAGAATTTATTTCTTTAACTGCCGACGTTTAAACTCTTTTAGGGTAATCCTTAGGATGGTAAAAATAAGTCAGATACGTTAAATATCGTAAAATTATAGCAACATTTTATTTGAAATAAAGAATAGCTGGTAATTTCTTGAAAATATGAAGTTTGACTGAGTTAGAGAAGAACATTAGTTACCTACTTTTAATTATTGCAAATGCTATTTGATAATAATTTTAAGCTTTTTAACGTGAAGTATCTACTTTTATTTTCCTAAGGATGACTTAGAATAGGTTAAAATGACGACGATAAACAAATGATTCTCAAAAATTGTTTTTGTCTATACTACTAAAAATTCTACTAAAAATAACAAAAATTCTATTAAAAATAACAAAAATTCTACTAAAAATATCAATTTATACAACATTTAAAGTAAGTATTCAAAAACGTTGCCTTGCTGACGAAGGCACATTTCGGCTCTACGGGTAATTGCATGTGAAGCTCGCATTACTTCAAAATTATTTGCCGTATTTCATTCCCTGCCAAACGTATCCTTTCACTCAACTCTTCCTCACTGTCAACTTCTGTAGCGTATACCATATCTTTTATACGACCCCAAAAGTAATAATCCAATGGGTTTAAATCCGGAGATCGAGGTGGCCACGGTATGGGACCACCTCTTCCTATCCATCTACCCGGAAATCTTTCATTTAGCCAATTTCTCACATTAACGCCATAATGGGCTGGCGCTCCGTCGTACTGAAAGTGCAGCTGATGTCGAATATTTAATGGGAGATTATCCAGAATGGGTTTAAGGCGGGTTTGTAAAAAAATCAGATACTCAATTGCATTTAACCGAGCAGGAATTTCAATCGGCCCAATTAATCTGTCATTGATTATTGCCACCCAAACATTAATAGAAAATATATCTTGAAAAAATCGACGTCGTACCACCCGAGGATTTTCTTGTGAATAAAAATGGTGATTGTGAATATTAAAAACACCATCTCTATTAAATGTATCCTCGTCGCTCCACATAATAAAAAGAAGCAGCTCCTGATGGTTTCTAATCCATTCACTAAACTCCATTCGTGGTAAAAAGTCGTGGGGTCTTAAGGCTTGAACACGCTGATAATGATAGAAATGAATACCCTGCATTCTTAACATTCTTCCAACCTAACTGAACATATTTTTTAAAAGACACGTAAACTAAAGTAAGAATTTAAAAATGCCTTTAATCTGAAACTTGTTTGTGTTATTTTTAACCGACTTCAAAAAAGGAGGAGGTTCTCAATTCGTCGCGATATTTTTTTTAATGTATATTCAGCGACAATTCTTTAACACGGTGTCCGATTTCAATGATTTTTTTTTATAGAAAGGGGGTACTACAGCAGTGGTCCCATATAAATTTGGTCAAAATCTAATAATTGGGTCCATGAGAAAATCCTCAAACTCTTCATTTTTTATGTATGTTTAGCGATAATGCTTTACCACCTTGTCCGATTTATATGATTATTTTTTTGTTAGTAAGGGGATACCTCAGGGGAAGTCCCATATAAATTTGGTTAAGATGTGGTGATGGCATCTGCACGTTTTTGAAGTCGGTTTGTTTAAAGTTTTAATTTCTAATACTTGTACTTATAAATTTGAGCAATAAAAACTAAGAATCACAAAATAGTATAAAGAAAAAGGGAAGTAATTATTACTTACTATTGCTCGTGGTATTTCTGAAAGGGTGGAAACAGTTCGAATACTCCTTCTTAGGTCCTCTTCAAATAAATTAAGGGCGTGTTCCAAATTGTTGTTCCCATGTGGTCTCCGTTGTCCACGATCACGTTGAAATGAACCATGGTCAACTAAATTTCTATGTGTATTAATAAATACACGGTAGTCAGGAATTCTTCGGTTAGGAAACCGTCTACGGTATGCTCTTACCGCTGCTCTTGCCCTTCCATTACACAAACCATATACAAAATGAATATCTACCAATTCTCTATTTGAAAATCTCTTCATTTATTAGAAGCATTTTTCTTTCACGCAAAAAAGTACAAATAATTGCACAATTGACAGCCAGTTTTTGTTTATCACAGCGTCTCAAAAAATTGATAAGCAGCTATTGGATTCCAGGCCTACTAATTTTTGTTTGCACTTTCGAATAAGATAATATGAACTTATCATGAAATTTTCAAATGCTTTTCTCTTGAAAATGGTGCGTCCTAGCGAGATGCAGCAAGAGTAGCTTTATTGTAAAGAAAATATTGGGTTTTCAAATTTTTTAGTCAAAAATGTTAAAAACTGACAACAAAAAAACTTAGGGCAATTTTACCTTAAGCCCCCCCCCCTAATTTACCCATCTATGAAGATGATCAAAAACTAATATTTAGTCCATTACATAGAGCGTAAAAAGGTAAGCATTTGTACCAAATTTCATTTAGTTATCTTTAAGCGTTTAGAAAATATTTACAAAAATGTGTCATCAGGACTTTACTTGTAACACCCTGTATCTCGAAAAAGAAACGTTTTCGGACCTTTGTTTATATAAACTTTTACTCCTATTTTAGGATGTAGATTACGCTGTTAAAATATGACCGTCTAATTTCGGGACACCCTGTATAGAGAATATTTGAAGTATAGCTCACTCTCTCTCACACATTTTAGAATAGGAACCACTTTAGCGCAAAACAATTTCGCGTAAGACAAATTTGCTGCCTCAAATTTGTACCGAGACAATTTAGTGCCTGATATAAATAAAGTGAGACCAATTAATGCCTAGTTTAATTATAGTGAGTTAAGTTAGCCCTTTTTCAAAAAAGAGTGAGACAAATTACCGCATGACAAAATATGCCAATATTCCAAAATTAAAAAAAATTAACTAACTTACCTAATTTGTGCATCCTGGAGCCATGGCGGGTTGCTGTATATGACTCCAGGCCGCACAGTTTAGGTAAATTAGTTACGATTTTTTTAATTTTTCTAATATTATGCCAATTTATTTTTAAGCAACCTGCAATGGCTTCGGCCGCCCAGGTTAGGTAAATTAGTTAAGTAGTTTTTTTTTTTTTTTAATTTTAATTAGAATACTGGAATATTTTGACTCGCGCTTTTATGTCCTGCGCTATTTTGTCTTTGCGCTATTTTGTCCTGCCTTATGTTGTCTGCCCTATTTTGTTCTGCGCCATTTTGTCCTGCGCTGTTTTGTCATGGAGCCTAGATTTAGATACTTACCAACGTTAGATGAAACCATTTCAAAAGGACTCGTGTATGTATCATGTTGACTCACAGACAATATATTAATATATTTCTCTATAAACTCGATAAGATTTTCAACTCCTTCTCCTGTTAATTCTTTAATCCTTTTCCAATGACATTCGTATCTTTTTTCCAGTACCACACTAAGAGAATGTACTATGTTTCTAATATAATCTTTGTCTTGACTGTGTGTTAAGTTTAATCCGTTCATTTTTGACTCGTAAAGAAAAAGTTGCTCTAGTAATTCAAATGTTATTAGCACGTCGGCGCCATACAAATTTTTGGTTAAATTTGTCGCTTTATATAAATCATATGCTAGTTTTATTGATACAAAAGTGTTCAATTGTAGATCTCCTTTTTCTAGGTTTGATAACTGAAAATAAAATAGATTAGCGTTAATAGAAGTAAAAACAATGGTTAAAAATATCGTACTTGTTCTCTTAGTTCTAAAAACCGATCAGAAGTACAATTAAACATATCAGGTTCTTGCCAACCTCCCAGTTCATTATCACAAGTTCTAGAAGCCTTTCCATGGGAGCCCTTTGGACATATTTCAATTGCATCGGAGCCGAAAATGGTTCTTGGCCACCAAATACCTTTAGAAGAAGATTTTGGACATCCATCGTAAATCACTAGAAAAAAATAATCTAGTAACATAATATCTAACAGAAAATAGTTTTCTTACCCTCACAACCTTTTGTAGTAACTTCTGCATAAGCATTTGGACAAGAGTCGCATTTAAGTCCAATAACGCCTTCTCTGCATCTGCATTGTCCTGTTTCATGATCACATTGGGTATTATGAGATCCAATATGATAACAATCACATGGAAAACACTGGGTAGTACCACTGGGTTGGTAATGATTCTCTCTACAGTGGCATTTACCAGTATTTTTATCACAATCTGGATTATATCCTGCTTCTACATCGCACTGACAAGGACCGCAGACTGGGTACCCCCACCAGCTTGCTGGACAAGGTTGAGTTTGCTCGTTTTCACAATATTCACCGGAGTAATTGGTGGAATTACATTCACATTTGTAACTTTTTGATTCCTTCAAGTCTTCGAGGCATAGACCTCCATTATCACAAGGATCTTCTGAACAAACCGGTACACAAAGAGGACCTATATGCCCTGAGTTACACTCACAGAAAGACCTCCCCCATTGAACAATACATTTTGAAGAAGCAGGACATTCACTATTACATTCGGTAATAGAATAGCAGCCATCTTCGACGTTATCTCTAACTGTAGGCCTACTTAGCAATGTTTGATGATTACCTATTCTTACATCTTGAATACAGCCTTCTAAATAGTTATAACCAGCGTTGAGACTTGTATAAGTATTATCAGGTCCACCAATGAGAATTTTTCCAACATATAATCCTTGAATTTTTTCAGAAAAAGGTAAAGTAATAATACTTTCTCCATAATCTATTGAAAGTTTGATTTCTGTACCTATCCATGTTACTTCTAAATGGTGCCACTCTCCATCAGATACATACTTAGTTGGTAAATACAAAGCTTCGCCATTATACGAGTATAGGAGAAGTCCTTTATTCAAAGAAACCACCGCTGAACTATTTTGTCCAACTTGTATAGACATTAGGAAAGTGTCTTCTTGTAAAGTTCTAACCGATAATGCATTTAACCAAGGTAATTGTATGGGACGAAGCAATGGATTAAAAGATAAAGTACCATCTCCAGAAAAATGCCAAGGCGTACTAATAGTTTCTGAACAATCTTTACTACCAAAACCTTGAGGACACTCACATTGATACATAGCCCAGCTATCCACACATTTCCCTCCATTTTTACATGGTCTTGATGAACAAAAAGATCTTTTTTCTGGGCAGCCCGGCGTTGTGCCATTATCAGTCATAAAAGAGTTCAAATCTACGAACTTATAATCAATTTCTAGATCAGATATGCAACCCTCATAGTGAAACTGTTGTATCTGAAAAACTGTTGATTCTGCTGGTACACCACCAAGTTGTAAAGGTCCGGTTAAATCTAAAAATCTGTGGCAGGTTTCTGTTAAAGATGCACAGCGTGGTTCTAGCTGATGTTCAACATATCCAGCGCAATTCCATTTACCTCCTAAATCTAATCCATGTTTTAAGGCTATGGCTATATCACAATCATCTAGAGATATTGTAGCTGTTTTATTAAAGTATGTGACATGAACCGTATGCCATTTACCATCAGATACACTGCCTGGTATTGAAGCTGAAACCTTAGTAACTTGGCTGCCTAAAGAGAAAGCAAATTGAACAGTACCACGTATAATCTCTAATGCTACAAAATCATGTTGTTCGTTGTATCTTCCATTGTATAATAAGAGTCCATTTGGCTGCTGTGTGGCAAATTTCAAACTCAAATGTAACCGGTGTCTCTGTTTCAAACTGGGAAAAGTCAGAAACGATGTTCTAGTGAAACTACGACTTTTTAGCTGACATAGTGGGGTATAATGTTCCAATTCTGCTATGATATTGCAATCTTCGCAGATAAAGTTAGATCTTCCAGGTTTAGGACTGCATGTTTTATCTTTTAAACATGAAACAGGTTTGCATTTATTACTGTCCAGTTTGGTTTCACAATTATCTCCAGAAAATTCTAAAGGACAAACACAAGTATATCCTCCTTCTCTGATTTTACAGGTGCCATTATTTTTACAGGGTGACGAATAACAAAGATTAACCTCAGTATCACACAAATAATGCTCTTTGGATCCTGTAAAACCTTTTGAACACTGGCAAGTGAAAGTAGTTACTGGGTAAATTGGTCTAAACAACACTGTATCACTTGAAATGAAACCAGAAGCATTACCGAATTTTAAAATTGTCAAACATTCTTCGTAATTTAAACAAGGTTCTCTAACGCATAAATTGTCATCAAATGGTAAAATTTGAACTGTGGCTAATCTTGCCAGAATACCTCTGTTAAGGTAAACTTTTTCTTGGAGAAATTGTGGACTATAATAGTCTTCTCGGGGTATATCCGGCCTTCGTACCGAAAAGCTCACATTAAGGATCTTCGATGTTACATCTGTATCATCTTGAACACTGAAGATGAAAATATTTTCTTTTGGACAAGGGATTATTGCTGCCAGACCATCAGTAAAATATCCTAAAAGCGGAGAAAGGAATGCTTCTTTAGTCATTTGATTCAATCTAACAGTTATCGAGTTAAGCAGCATTTCTTCCGTTATAAGTCTGACAGTAAGAGACATAACTTTCTTTACTACATTTATGCCATCAGATACAGATACTTCCATTGAAGCTATTTTAGGTACATTAGTGTTTAGTTGCGGTGATAATTGCAGCTGCCCTGTACTTTCATTGAGTGCTACTAAATTTGCGTTATTACCAGACAAAATCCTGTAATGTAACTTATCAGAAACATCTGCATCGTAAGCTGGTATTCTTCCTATAGATCCTGTAGGAAAAAAGTCCCTAAAATTGTTAAACACAACTTGAAAATCTTTGAGAACAGGAGCATTATCGTTGACATCTGTAACCACAATTTCAACATGAGCATCACTTCTTAAAGGTGGACTAGCTGCTCTAATTATTAAATCGTATTTCTTCTTAGCACTTTCATAATCAAGCTCTATCATTGTTAAAAGTTCAGCTTTTTCAGATCCTGGTCTAGTTATTAATGAAAAACTTTGGGCATCTTCACCTCCTATGATTGAGTATTGTACTATAGCATTTACGCCTTCATCTGGATCTTTAGCAAAAATGTCTCCCACAGTAGATCCTATAGGACTGTTCTCGGGAATATATAAAACAATTTTATCTGAATCAAAAGCTGGAGGAGAATCATTTACATCATCTATTCTGATAGTAACTGGTACAGAGCTGCTAAGTGTTGGGGATCCCTTATCTATAGCGTAAGCTTCCAATTCGTAAAGAGCCACCGACTCTCTGTCTAAACCTTTGTTTGTTCTAATAACGCCACTGGTAGGATCTATAACAAATGAACCGTCTTCTTGGTCTTTCTCACTTAGAGAATAATGTATTTTTCCATTTAGCCCTACATCTGCATCGGTAGCAGTTACTTGTACTACCGAAGTGCCTACTAAGGCGTCTTCAGGCACACTTCCCGAATAAGCAACTTGTTTGAACACTGGATAATTATCATTGACATCTGTAACTGTAATTTCTACATCTGTTGTGTCTGATAAAGGAGGAGAACCACCATCTTTTGCTGTAACTGTCAATAAATATCCGGAATTGGTTTCTCTATCTAACGGCTTAGTGGTGACAATTGCTCCAGTTTGTCGGTTTATCGAGAAGGAGGGATCTTTTCCTACATCGTTAAGTTCGTCCCCTAAGAAATAAGATATTTGAGCATTTAGGCCAACATCGTTATCGGTAGCTGAAACTACTAAAACAGTAGTACCAACTACTACATCTTCGAATACACTAGCTGAATATGGCGCATTTTCAAAAACCGGTGCATAATTATTAGCGTCAGTTATATTAACATAAACTGTTGCTGTATCAGTGCGTCCACCAGAATCTGAAGCTGTAATTGTAAGGATGTATCGTTTTTCTTGTTTATAGTCCAGAGGTTGTGCTATTGTGATTAGACCGCGGCCATTTTGTGAGGTTATAGCGTATCTTCCTCGGGTGTTACCATTTGTTATTTCATAGTGTAGTCTGCTATCTTCATCTGGATCTGTTGCGGTAACTGTAGCTACAGGTGTACCTAAAGAAAAATAAAAATAGTTTAAAAGTTATAAGTATAACCTGCTATAAAATGAAATAGGTGGGTTTTAAGACTCTATTGTTTGGGGTCTATGGAGGAATAAATTTTCAAATATCTAGGAAACATAAAAATAAACATAAGTAACATTACAGAAAAATAATATCGACTGGAATATATAACTATATGATAAAAAAAGAAAAATAGACAGTAGGCAGAGATAATGTACAATAAGAGCCAATAGTACGATATAGGATAAACAACTAAAGTAGTATGAGCACGTTTATGAGGATCGACGAGGAACGTAAGAATGGCTACAAATAAAAATAAGTAGAAGTATATGACAAAACGAGAAGAGACCTCGATAAACTTGAACGGAGAATATAAACGAAATAAACAGGGGCGTGCCGTCCATGGGTGCAATATGTGCAATGCACACAGGCGGCCAAAATTTAGGGCGGCCCTAGGCCGCCACAGCAATGGTCCCTTCTTGCCGGAAGCGCGCGCCGACTAGACTGGCAAAAAAGTAAGGCGGCAGCTTTATTGTAATAAAAATGTCTACTGTTTTAAAATGTGGCACGTGGATCTTAACAAACAAGGGGCGGCAGCCGGCCGCGGCAAGATATGACGATTTAATTACCCACTTCTCTCATCCACAAACCACAAACGACCGGCCGGCGGTAGTCGGTAGTAATGATCAAAGTCAAAAACAGGCGACTGCCGAAAGCCGACGCTTTGATAGCGTTCGTTAGGTGGCCGCATCAAATGGTGCGGTGGACAAAATATGAGAAAATTATTATTTTTTATCATTTCAAAATGGTAATGTTTACTTTGTCGGCTACCCCTACCTACATTAAAAATGATATAAAAGAAAAGGTTTATCAAAATGCATCTGCATTACTATTGTTTTTTTCATCTCAATACCATAAATAATTTTTATTTACTTAACTGATTTGATTTCTATTTCTGATTTTGATTTGATTGATAATTGATAACTGATATTGTATTTGTATTGTATTTTATGTAATGCGATTGTGAAAAGTGAAAACTGTGCCTGTAAGTACTTGTAAGTTGTAAGTAATTGTAAGTTGTAAGTAATTGTAATTAATTAGTATTATTAGCAATTTTATTTATATTCTATTTTCATTTTTGTTATTATTCAGTGAAATTTAATATAATAACTAACCATTTTCAAGATTTTTTATTTTTGATTTTTGGCATAATAAATATTATTGAAAATTGAAACTTAATTTAATTTCAAACAAATTAATAATCAATTTAGTGTAGGTATATTAATTCTTATTTTAACCTATATAAATGTTTATTTTGACTGAGGAATACAGGAATAATAGATATTTATGTATGTGTGTTTATTATATTCGCATGTTAGAAACAAATACTTTTAACTTTTACTTTTAATTTTATGAAAATATTGGCATAAACAATTTCAATAGTAGAATAGTATTTTTTTAAATAATCATTATTTAATCTTCTCCTTCATCAAAAATTAAAAAAATTGACAATAAACTTTGTAAATTGTAATTTTTTGTATATACAGTATACATATCTATCTTAATATGGTATATATGTCATTTAACACTACGTTTTAAAATTATTTTGAAATAGATTCGATTAGCAAAATCCGGAAATAAATATAAAAATTAGTATAGATTATTTAAATAATTTAATAAATTATTTTTATTTCAGACTATTCGGCGTAGAAAAAAAAACTAAATAATTTGATTATGAACATGATGATGAGCCTATAACCGATGCAAAAAGTAATTTCAAAGTGAATATTTTTTTCTCTATTTTGGACCGCATACTGTTATCTTTACAAGAGCGATTCAAAGGATTGCAAAGTTTTAACGGCATGTTTGGATTTATGTATAATATGTTCACCTTAACAAATGAGATTGTTAAAATCATGTAAACATTTGAATTCTCTTTTGACGGATGATTCTCGTAACGAATAGAATGTATTCTTGGTTGCATGTATGATGACCGTTTGTCCTTCTTGATGTCTAATTGGACGGCTTTCTGCAGAAGTGAATCAACCGACAAATTTGTGATTTTTATATTTTCACATTAAGAACCGTAACCTCTACTGCAAAACAAGAACCAGGCCACATTCTGGTACCTAGTGTTATTTGTTAGCCAATGAACCAACCGACTAAATTGATTAAGCAAGTAACTTGCCTGCAGAGCAATCTAAGCAGCTTGGTTGCTTTCTGCATAATAGAGTAATCGTTAAGATAATAAATAGAAATATGGACGTTGAAAAAGTTAGCTGTTTAAAAACACGTAAGATACTTCTGGATAAAAATCCATTTTCAATTTTTCTGAGAAACTAATTTTGAAGATAACATATGCTGAAATAGATTTCAGAAAAACAAATTGGTCGTCCGGCATTATTTAAAAACTTGCTAATACCACTGTGACTTTAAGGAAAAAAGTAGAAAATCCAAAGATAGAGGACAAAAAATCTGTAATGCACTTAATTCCGAACGATTTCATGCAATTTTATGAACAATTAAAAAGACAATATGTATTTTTTACCTACTTCCTTTAACAATAAAGTATCCTTAACCAAACTATGCTAAAATTTATTTTACTGAAAGGAACCGACCCAAAAAAACAAAAAAAAAAACAAATGAAATGTCTTCTTTTTTAAATTTGTAAGGCTATCGTCGCCACATTAGGCAGACGTTCAGCGCCGATCTTCGGCAACAGAACGTCTGCTGCAGACAAATCCTATAATTTCTTACGAACAATTCGTTAACTCGAAACATTGAGCTGAAGATTGGTTGAAGCTCCTAGCATTTGAAATTATTACGCAAAAATCTGCGGCTCATTTTCGGCGGCTGTGGCGCTAGCCTAAGAATTCATATTGTATATGCATCACATACTTTGATTACTATACGGTGCAAGAGAGAGGTCCGACACGCGGCCATTTTGATTCCTATGCCACAGTTTATAGCTAAAGAATCAGATCGCTCACTCTGAAAAAGGGACATTTGGTCATCCGTACTAAAGAAATGGTTCTTAATATTTATAAGCATTAAATTTTATAGAACCCTGATATGTTGGTACATGATGTTGAAAGGAGAGTACTGATAAAACAGGGGTGTGCGCTAAAACCGTTTTTAATGTTATGAAGGAGTATAGGCAGATTCATAAATTTTCTGAACCAAAAAGAAAGCTACGTCATAAACAAATTAGTGGCTCTGTGGAGGATTTTGATAAAAATGCAATAAGGCGCAAAGTACATCAATTCTTCTTTAGAAATTAACTTCCAACAATTGATAAGGTTTTATAAGAAGTCAACGATGATCCATATTTGTCTACTTTTAAGCGAGCTACATTTTACAAGCTTTTCAAAACCCTTAATTTTAAATTTAAAACTCGAGGAAAAAATAGACAAAATAGGCACTTTTGATCTCGAATGTTCCAGTTTATACACTGCGCAACTCGGATAATACAAATATATGACAACCGCCTATAATAAAACAGCAGTCTTCTGCGTATCTTGAATTTGTATCCCTGGAGTGGATTTTATTTTGGAACTTTCAACTGGTCCGAGTGAGCTTACTGATTCTTTATCAATAAACTGTGACTCCAAAAATAAGATTCACTGACACTGACAGCAGCAAGCAAAATATCAGGTGCGTTTTAATCAAACGCTTCTGCTTCCGGAATTGTCGGTTTAGTCGTTTTAACCTGTCAGATTAAAACAAGAAAACCGACAATTCCAAAGCAGAAGCGGATGATTAAAACGCACCTATTAAAAATTATGCGCCAAGATGTAGGCAACACATAATAAGGGATCAAAATGGCGGAGTTTCCTATCTTCTTTTAAAAGGCACTCAGAAAGCTGCGCAGTGCGACCATTCTCCGTATAGTAAAAGAAAATCAAAGTATGTGATATGCATATTTAAAGCCCATGAATTTTTTATAATTGTCAAAACTTTGACATTTAAATACCCATAACTTTTTTTGGGGTTGGTTCAGTTGTTATTTTTTACCTGCAACATGAAGTTTAAGAAATTCAAACGCGGACAAATGCTCCATGCGAGTGCGAAAATTGTGATTTGTAACATGATTTTTGTTATTTAATCAATGACGATAAATTGAGTGTGACTGCAGCGATAAGTCGTGCTTTCAAAATGAGTGGGGTCAGTGAAAAAAATAATTTATACCATTAAGGAAGAGGAGAAGTAAAACAATGGTGAATTGAGACATCCTGCAAGAAGAAAAAAGGCAAATAGGGCAGTCAAATTCTCGCGAATATACATATCGATACCTTTTTGCTAGACTAACGTAAGCGACATTTTTTTAAATGGCACTTACGATAGTCTGGCAAAAAGGTATCCATATGATGAGGGTTTTAAGAGCTTATTGAGAGGAATTGTGCACAATTATTTTTTTAATCATTCCGCCAATTTTGAATGCAATTTATATTATTATTCGAGGGAATGAGAATTCATCATCGTTCTCTTTAAGAACCCTATGTAGATTGATGAAAGATATTGGTTTTGAATATGTGAAGCGTGGTCGTAAAAGTATAATGTTAGAACGAAAGGACATTCATTGGGGGCACAGGTATTTAAGAGCCATCAAACAATATCGCCAACAAAATTGGGTCAACGTGGGGCAAACGGTTAACTGTGCATAGTGTGATAACACCATAAAAAATCATAGATGCTTTCATAAAAGGGCCTCAAAGCACCTACACAAAGAGGTCCACGTTTCCTTATTGTTCGTGCAAGATATTAAGGTGGATTTTTACCTGCCGTTCATGTTGATATTGTTGTTTATTTTTGTTTTATGATTTCTTTTAAGTTTCTATCCCCCCTTAGCACCTTCATTTTTAATTATATATTTTTTTCCAAATCAATACTTTTCGTACCCTTATAGAGTGATTTTTCCTGAAAATTTTAAGTTTATATAATTTTTTGTTTTTGAACAAAAAACGTGACATCTGACGGACAGACGGATGGACG